TATCTTGTGGGGGCTTCCTCCGACAATTGCACAAATTTAGTAATAAATAATGCAAGTTTTTTAATAAAAAATAATTTATCTTTTTTTCTTTGAATATACAAAAAGCTTAATAAGAAACTAACCTCCGGTTTAAGGAAAATGGTCACAAATTAATTCTTCGTTGGCACTTTAAAAGTAAATCAACTGCAACTTGAATTAATATGTTGTCTGTAACGGAGCTTTCAAAGCTATCGGTAAGAGTCCTTTTATAATTCTTTCGAGATTAACAGCTTAGGTCAGAAAAAGAAACTGCCACTCAGTATTCAGTCATCGACGACATGTCTAACAATACAACTTGCTTTCCACTGAATAACATTTCAAGCCCTTGTGCGTCGACGAACGAAAGCAAAAATCGTATTCCTTACGCTCATGCTGCGATTCTTTCGAGTACTATCATTATCGCTATATTGTCGCCAATTGCGGTGGCTGGTAATTCATTGGTTTTAGCAGCAATATGGAAGCGCTCTTTTCAAAGATCGCCGTTTCATGTCCTTCTGAGTGGGATGGTTGTAACTGACCTTTGCACGGGACTCATTGCCCAGCCGTTCATTGTCGCAACTAATTTACTGTACCTGACAAAACCAACATTCGTGATAAAGCAGCCAGGGTTTTTCCTCGCCATTAAAACAACTGGAGACGCAAGTGCCACATATTCGATAGCCTTCAACTTGTTAATCATAACACTCATGTCTGTTGAGCGATGGCTTCATATGTCTCGCCGATCCTTGGTGACATCCCGTCGAGCACGTTTTACCGCCGTAACCTGTTTTCTTCTGCCAATTCCAGCAGTTGTGTTTCGTTCCATGGAAACTCTTAACCCAGGAACAGGTCAGCGACTGTTAAACATGACGATTGTTGTGTCCATGATTGTTTGTTTTCTAATCACATTTGTTTCTTATGTTAACGTTTTTCGTCTCATTCTACGCCACCAACAACAGATTCAAGTCACTGAAAACTTTGGTCAACCGGCAATAAACCTAGCAAAGTACAAAAAATCCGTGTTCACCATCTTGATAATTCTGGCCTTCTATTGCATTTGTTTCCTTCCTATTATTTTCTCACTTTCAATCCATTTTCAAGTCGGTGATAGTTCTAAAATGGCATTGGCTACAAGTGTATCGTTCGTGTTCTTATTTTTATCTCCTTCGTTAAGTCCAATCCTGTACTTATGTAGAATGAATGATGTTCGTGCTGGGGTAAAAATATTACTTTCGTTTGGTAGGGGATAATGCCAGGTCTAACTTTGACTCAGTAGTCAAAAGAAGAGTCATAATTCGGGTTAACCTGTGTGGAAGTACAAATACAAACCAGGTGAATGTTAATCTGGTACAAAGTTCTTGTACATTAAGTTTCGAGATTAAAGAGACACTTTTTGAAAATTTTCAGAGTATAAAAGAATTTGTTGGATGAGGCTGTCTCAATGTGATCCTAAAATCTTGCAATCTAAGGAGGGTGTTAATTCTTGGAAGTTGTCAGGAAATGCATTTATCTATACATCCAGTTGTGAGCAATTAGATAGGTGATTTAATCAGTAAGAAAAGGGGAAGTATTTTTAATGAACAATAATGACCGCAAATAAAATTGCACTTTAATAGTCTAGTTTTAAATTATTAAAATGATATTTAATTCTCCAAAGTAAAAGTTATAGAGGATATTACATGGCCGCTTGGGGATACGAATTTTATCTTCTCGTGCTGAAAGTATCTCTCACGAGTGAGCGAAGCTCTGTTTATTTTATAGATACTGATGAAATTCCTACATAAAACACAACTTCTTTTGTATTCATTTTCGAAACAGCAAAATAGTGCAATTAAAGTGGTCACCTATCGCAAAATGCCTATTACAAAAATGTTTTGAAACTCGGATATAAAGTTATAAAGGAGAAATGAAGACAACAATACTTAGTAACCTGAGCGGGAAGCCCTCTTGTAATTGGCTAATCATGTTAGTAACCATGGCGACACCAATATCCTCACACGTGAAAGATAAAAATAGTATCTTCACTGCGCGAGATGAAGATATGATTTTTTAGTGAAAGGAAAAATCGTGGTATCGGGGTATTTTATCAGTATCTATATAATAAAGTCTGACACGTAGGCATAAACAATGCAGTGATCATTTCCTAACACCCTAATGCTTGTCGCCCTTCAAGCCAAGGGCGGAAACCGATCCGCATAAGAACGGCAAGATGTGCCACCAGAAAACTAAACCGTTAATTTCAACTTAAGGTACGTGAAAGGTACACAAGCTTGATTGATTCGAATTCGTGGAAAAGAGTGGTTCACACTGAGAGCATGCCTATGTATTCGTGATATTGAGCGATGAAAGTTCAGTGACAAAAGTTCCATTACCGTCGATCTAGTTTTCCGAGGCTTTTCTTGGTGGTTTAGATGGGAAACTCTAAGGCCGAAATACTCCACTTGGGCATGGAGACAAATTTCAAGTTTCCTAATTGACCTTTACATGAGCCTGTCTTATTATAAATGGGGATGTGTTTTTCTTTGTCCAGGAAAGACTCGTCAATTTTGTTTCTCTGAAAAGAAAAAGTTGCAAGAAAACGCATGTAAATGGGCAGTTTTAAACGTTTTTGGTTAAGCCTTGTTCTGCGTAAGTGGGAACACCTTTTTACCTTGTCAAGAAAAAAATTGTCAAGTTTTTCATATTAATCAAGCAATTTTCCCTGAAAGTAAAAACAAAAAAATCTTGCTTGTGAAAACGAAGCTTAAAATTAATGACGGGTCAACTCGAGGTTAGTCACAAAATCTGTCTTAAAACTATGCATGATGAACACATTCTGGGGTTTTCATACTCGTCACCAACATTCAAACTTATCGATTCTTCCGAGTTTCTTCTTTCATGAGTTATACAGTGGCTAAACACTTTCTTTATTCATACAAAATTTTTTGTTCGAAAGGGCTCTTCATTTTGCGCGAGAGGGCGCTTGAATTTTCAAGCTTTTTGTGTGACGCGGTATTTGTCTGGCGGCCAGGAAAGCTCTTAATGTGGGTTGAAAAAGTTAGCAATTTTTAGAGCTTTTGGTATCTTAACATTCCTTGTCTCAGAATAAATGTTACTTTTATCTTTATGAGTTCATCAAGCGATGAATTCACGCATTTGTAGGAAAACTCTAAGACAGCTGATTCTGTTGGTTTTCGGCGGCCATATTTGTGCCCCTCAAAAGAGGCACCAACATGGCGTCTCCATACAAAGCCTTATATATTTGAGTAAAACGTTTTTCCAAATATCTTGCACAAATGTCGCACAACAACAACAACCTTATTTCATTTCAAAACCCTTGTTACACAATAAAATAAAACACAACCCGCAAGTAGCAAAGGTTCTCGAGGCGGGTTGTGTAAACATACATGTAAATAAATAAATAATAAATTAATTAAGGTGGCTCGATACAGTTTTTCAGGGCCAATAGCTCCCAAGTTTGAGCATAAACTACGTCGCCATAAACAAAGTTTTGGAATAATTGCCACCACAGTTGTATTAGATTAAGATGAAAATTTGTTTTGATCAGGCTTGCAATGACATCGGAGTTGTCATAGCAAAGAAATGACGCTATTACCAATTTTACTTACAGCAGTATATCTCGGTGTTGGGAACTCTTCTTCCAAAATCATTTACGGAAGCTTTTACCTCCAATAGCCGCCTCGATGTTCGTGGAGTTTAAGCGAAATCTTTAAGAGCGTTATCGAGATATTTTGGGATAAAGATTTTGTAGTATCAATAGTAGTAATATATAGATTTAGCCAGGGCTAAAAGCGAAGCTCTCGATAATATTTATATTTTGTTCAAACAAAACATAAAATTGTGTAATACCAGCCCGTGCACCAAAAGTCTGGTTAAAAGCCTGGTGAGCCTGGTAAACCCTGGTTGGCGAAGGCAACGCCGGAGAACGGTGTAAAACAACAATACGTCTTATTAGCAAAATAGGAACTTTGCACTTTTCTTTTGCACGACTGCAACGTGAAACTTCCAGAAACTTCTTAGTTAACGTTTTATGGACTGAAATTAATTAATGTCCTACGTTTCCCCGTTCACTTTTTTTTCACTGCCGCTCACTTTCACCTTGCATTGGTAGCTGCTAGCATTTCTCATTTTGCCACCACCGCTACAAAATTGTCATGTTGTTTTTCAACAAAAAAATGTCTCGCTCTAGATCTCTGTCGCCCTTTATCACGTTGAGCTTCGCTGGCCTGCCGCCGACTTTCTCTTTTTCTCTGTCTTTCTCTTGCTCCATATTACAAATATGTGGACATGACAATTAATCTAAACTTAATACTTTAGAAAACACGGATACAGAATCAATTTCCGCTTTCCGTTTTCGTATTTATTGACTCTTTAATTGTTTCTGCTTCACAAGAGGCGAGTGGTTATGCGATTTCCCGTCAAAATAACCTCGAGTTACATTTGGGGTTGCCATACCTGTTGAATGAGTTATTTAACATTGGTATGCCTGTGGTACGGACGGACGGTCGGGCGGTCGCTGTACGGTCACGTGATTACCAAATTTTCTCGGATCTTGTTAGCGGTTTTTTAAAATTTTAGTCTACTTTAACAAATTAGCAAATATTTTTTAAACCGCTCGATAGATTTTTTTACAAATTTAAGATTCTTGAGATTAACCTTCCTTTTATATGACCTTTTAGTTTCAAGGTTATTGATATATTGTAAGGCAGTAAAATACCCTTACAAGGGTTTAAAAATAATGAAATGTCGTAACACCATGACCCCAAAAGGTGGTCGGGGTCGCTTACGACGCAGGTGTTCAAACATCATGGGGTTCGACTATATTAAGCATATTTTTTTTTTCTTTGGTAAATCTCGGTAATTGAAAAAATCTAAGGAGTCATGCACTATTATCACTTAAAAAATTAATTACTCGACGTGTGATTATACCGAGAGCATGAAGTTGTGGTTTCTGAGCAAGAGCAAGTCTTCTCGTTACAGTGATCATTAAATTTATATAATTATAATGTTGGCAGTTCGTGTAAGATATTCAGTAATTAGTTTTATTATCTGTCTTTGAACGTGCAATATCTTTTTAATGAAGTTTTTCTTTAGGGTAATCTACTTGTGAATATTAGTTTGTACCATTTCCTTGAAAATTACAATTACCCACATCAAGCAAAGTCAGTTGAATTCATTAAGCCAGCCAATATCATCAACTGAACAAAGAATCAAACAAACCTAGAATTGCAAATATCAATTTGTGGAATTAAAAAGCAGGATTTGTTTTGTTGCATTGTAACCTGCTCTTTCTCTCAATATGAAAGGGGTGGTCCTTTATTTTCTTTTTCTTTCCTTTCTTAGGACATAATTAATAGATTCGAATGGTTATGAAACCCTTCATACTCCTTTGTTATACGGTTTTTTATAAGCATTTCTACCATTCTGATCGTATTGACCAATAAAAATGTCGCATTAATTTATTCCATCGCAAACAAAGGATTGCGCACGGTCAGGGAGCTTCCAACATAAACTGCATCACTGTTGTTTTTACATTTGATGTTTGTTGTCTTTCATAACTAGTCTCCTCTAATAACTATGCTGCATTTACTCTTTGAGCCTTTGTGCCTACCTTTGCTTATTTCTTTTTTCAAAAGAGTTCTGCTTCTCATATTAATCTTTAGTCAGAGGCTTCCGTATCCGTCAAATCCATCAACCAAAAGATAAGCTGTTTTTTTATTGAAAAGGAAATTCAGTTACAACTGCCTGCGGGAGTACAACGTGTAATATATTTCTCTACGCCGTTTTAAGGAAGAAAATATGTACTCGACCCCCAAGGGGCATGGCCAAGTGCATGCAATGGCAGCATCAACCAACACCACTGCTTCCAATTAATAATAAGGTAGTCTGTGTGTGTGTGCTTTTTTTTTCCTAATTAATTTTGTCTTTTGTTAAAAGGAGATGACACACAATTCAGGTAGAATAAAATAAGAAGAAACGGATTGTCAGTAAAGTAAATGTCAAATCTGTCTTCTCTTTTTATAATAGACGCTATGTGTACAAATTTTTTGTATTGTTGGAATTGAATACTAACCATTCAATCAAGTGCTTAAAAAAGAAAGATAAATTTAGATTGCGTTTTCTCAGTTTTAGCTATCGCGCTAAGGCTTTCTTCGCAATGAATGAGTACAAAGCAAAGGCTATATTGGTGCTTTTCCTGCAGCTGCCAAGTCACGGATTTATCATTAACCCTTAAATGAACATAACTTGATAATGCTGATAATGAACAAAAAAGAGAAGATTGCATTTGGTCCTTTATTTTTAGCTGAAAAAACAAGGGTACGACCAACAGCACATCATCTGGAGGGAAACTTACAGTCGTAACTGCAGTTCAGAAGAAAAATGCGGAAAAGCAGCTTTTACATGGACACCTTTTCCTACTCCATCATTATCGCTGTTATATGTCCAGTTGCAGTGGTCGGAAATGCTTTGATTTTAGCTGCGATTTGGAAAAAGACATTTAAAAAAACTCCTTTCCATCTTCTTCTGAGTGCATTAGCAATCACTGATTTGTGTACGGGAGTAATAGCCCAACCTCTTACTGTTGCAGCCAATCTTTTGCAAATTGCATCGGACTGCAAATCATATTCACATTGCAGAAACAGGCAAATGATTATTGAAGTAATTGATGCACTTAGTAATACCAGTGCCACGTATTTCTTTTCTGTCACAGCCCTTTTTACATCACTAATGGCAGTTGAGAGATGGTTACACATGACAAGGCGATCCAAGTTGACATCACGTCGTAGATACATTGTAGTTATAGCGATCGTGATCCTTCCATTACCCAAAGCCATTTTTCGTTCCCTAGAATCCGTGGAAGGACGTCCTACACGTTCATCGAATATTGCAATCATAGCTTTGGGAATGGTTTGTTTCTTAACCACATTTGTTGCTTATTTTCAAGTTCTTCGAATCATTCGACGCCATCGACAACGCGTTCATAGAAGCTTGCGGACTGGCAATTTTGGTCCATCAGCAATAAACCTGGCGAAGTATGAGAAATCTGTGGTGACGATCTTATATATCGCAGGTTTATTTTACTTCTGTTTCTTCCCATATATTGTAACTATTAGTGTGTTTGTTTGCTTTGGAAATGATGATTCACGAGAATTATCTGTAGCCTTGCACATCACCACAGTGTTTCTGTTCGCATCATCTTCACTCAACCCACTCCTTTACCTATGGAGAATGAACGATGTTCGTACGGGAGTAAAGCGCTTATTTTTTCGCGGACTCGAATAGCCTTGGCCTGAGCGGCGATGAGTTTCTCAGAGGTGGTTTATTCCATCCCAATTTTATTGTTTCAAGTTATAAAAAAAATGGTCCTGATAAAATGTTGTTCGTGTACATGAAACACAAACATTAACAAAGACACAAAAGACATCAAAATGTCATTCGATATCATTTTGAAGGCAACTGATTTTCCAGTTTTGTTGCTGAGTATTAAATAGACAACAGTGTTAGTAATCTTTGTTATTTTAAACCACTGACAGAAAAGTTACACAATGTGCGCGTTTTCACATCAACACACTCGTTGCACACAAACCAAAAACCACTCTACGACGACTAGCCTGTTCCAGGAGTGCGGCGCGAGGGATTTCTGCTCATATCTCTTTGCGCTGTCCCACGATCTGGAACAGGCTATCAATTACGACGACCATTTATGAATGTCAAGGCCAAGACAAACCGGATGAAAGACAGGGAGCAGTATACTGACAACATCGAATGCTGGGACTGCCAGGCCACTTACACTACTGAGACCGGCAGAAACCTTAGAACGCAACTGACTGAACACAAACGAGCGACAAGAAATGGTGATGTTAACAATCGTATTGCTGAACACCATTTACAGTTGAAAAATTAATCTGACTGCGACTGTGCGACATGTTACGTATTCTACAAACTACTATCACCGACTCACTTTAGAAAGCTGGTTTGCTAACTTAGAACAACACCACTGATCACAGCAGCTAACAGTTACCAGCACTGTGCAAACAACTTATTGAGGGACTTAAGCAAAACTGACAACGATGAAGTAACTGAAAATAAAAAGCAATTGAAAGCCTTTTCATTGATCCGTCCGTTAAACTGTGACAAAAGACGGCCGGATCGAAACGCATCAATCACATTTAGAATCTTCTTAGCCAATAACGTCACGACTTAACTAAGTCCTACAAACAGTTTGGTGTCTTAGGTCGGCCCAGTGCAGTGACTGTTCAAGGCCACGTTTATATGAGAATTGATTTCTTGGGTAGAAGGGCCAACCGCCTATGACCCGAGCTACCTTATGGGCGAGCCTGCTTTTCATACATTTCTTTACTCTGCGTGGCGGACCGTTTTCACGTAAAAAGAAAACGTTGGCTCGGCTAAATAGTATAGGGTCACCCTCCTAGCTTGGCCAACTTTTCTTCATATAAACATTTGGCTCACCCAGCCGGATCAATTCGGTCAAGGCGGTGTAACAATCAGAGCATGCACGAGCGCTGTTTTAGACAATCAGAGCATGCGCGAGCGTGTTGGCTCGGCGGGGAGGGTGACCTTTCTACACGGAACAGGTTTCTCTGAAAACAGGGCGTGACATGTCCTTGTTATAAGCTTACTGTCGGTTAAAGGAACATGTATGAAGTTCACTGAAGTCAGTATTGAGCTCAATTTTTTTTTTCTTTTTGCAACTTCGATAATTACAAAGAGCCACGCCCGTGCGTAAATAATTAAAGATTTTCTTCATGATAACGAGTTTAGTTGTGTCTATGAAACTCGGATTTTTGTTCCTTTTTCTCAACTAAGTGCCCAATAATCGACGGCAATGGTGAAGAACTTTCCAGCTTCTAGTCACTCAAAGCAACAGCAGGAAATGGCGAAATCCCTGCAGGGGCAAAAAAATGAAATGAAAAAGAGCTACTTCACACAATGGTAGCAGCATGGCCAACACCGAGGGATCAACTAATTATAACTTAGGCTGTCTTTCTATTAAATGAACAAAGAAAATGTCCCTTGTTTGGGCTTCTTTACTTTTACTTTTATTTTAATTATTTTTATTTATTTATTTATTTTTTTGCATCATTAGATTCACTGAATACGAGATCCATCATACTTAAGCCATCCAATCAAGTGCTTTTATTCTATATTTCGTATAACAATTAAGTTTATATTGTATTACTTCAGTTCTTAGAGGCAGCAGAAAGGAGCGATATTTATTGTTAATTTTCTAATGTTTTCAATACTGTTGCAACCGACAATAAAATAAGGACCCGGCAGAACTATTTCAAACTGAATTCTAGAAGTCAGGTCGCTGGGTCTAAATAAATACAATAATGCAATAATTATGCGTCCAGGATCAGAGACAGAAAGGTTCGCAATAAAAATTGCAGCCAAATAGAGGACAGTCATTTAAATTCAAACGTTTTCGGCAGAGCCTTAATTTGAAAGACGACGCACGTGTTGTTTGTCATTCCCCTTATTTTTGTCTTTCTTTTATGAATGGCTTCAAGAGGCTGCAATGATTGAGTTTCAGCCAAAAAGGGAAAAATACAATCAAATTTTCCTGATGATTTTCAAGTCGTTTTCGTTAAAGGGTTGATGATATGATCCATGATTACAGCAGCTTCAGGAAAAGCGCCAATATTGCTTTGCTATGTAAGGTGTAGGCTGTATTCATTATGTATACTGCAGAGGGGGGGGGGGGGGGGGGGGGGGGGGGGGGGAAAAAAAATTTTTTAAAGGGGGAAAAATTTTTAAATTTCCCCCCCCCAAAACAAAAAAAAATTTTTTGAACCCCCCCTCTCCAAAAAAAAAAAAAAAAACATGCCCCCCCCCCCCCCGCTTCACACCGCAAAGAAAAAGAGGGAAAAAACGAACAAAGGTGAAGGCAATAAACTTACAAA